TCAGCTCTTTTTGATTACTGCTCTTCCAATCCCACCTTCGTCGCCAGTGTTATATCAGGCAATGGAAGAGACAGGACACAGTTCCAACAATAACAACAGCTCTTTATTAGTAGATTGGTGCAACCCAGCAACTGGCTCATCTGAGAGCTTGCCCTTTTATAGGGAGCTGTCAGACAGGTTAGCCAATGAGGTTTGGGTATTTTCCCACCAGTTTGGCAGACCTGAGTGAAGCCTATGCATCCTCCTATTCAATATACAACACACATGCCCCAAACAGAGGGCTGAGAAGCCTTCACTCAAGGGAGAGAGAGCAATGGAAGGACCCTATTCAGGCCCCAAGGGCTGGTAAGCAAAGCATGTGGGGAAGTGAATACACTAAAGGGAAGCAAGGATTTAGAGCTGCTCATTTCAAATGAATACCGCAGCCTAGCAAAAGTATTAAGAGAAAGGGAATTAGACATGCTCTTGGTCCATCACCCCACACATGCTATTAAGATTTTGCCAGGGGCCAAATTATCCAAGCCGAAGATATGTTCCATGATGCCGAGGGAGATGGGAGAACTTTGGGGTTTTATAGACAAGAACTTAGCTAGGAGATTTATCCAGCCAGCAAAGTCAAGATGGTTGCCTCTGTGCTTTTCAAAGAGAAGAAAGATGGCATCTTAGACTACCATGGATTACCATGGACTGAATTGTACCTTCTTAGAGAATATATATCCCCTCCCCCTCACAAGGGGCATGCTGGGTTACCTATCCAAAGGGAAGATTTTTATTAAACTGGACTTGAGGAAAGCCTATTACTAAATGAGGATTAAAGAGGAGGATAAATGGAAAACTGCATTTAACTGCCCTCTGGGTTGCTACCAATTTCGGATAGAAGATAGAAGTCAGGTGATTTTGATCTACAATGTGGAGATAATCTATGGTCACTTATTAAAAAAGATGGAAGGAAGAGAGTTTCTAGTATTTAGGGGCAGTGTTCACTTTGCTCTTGTACGGGGGTCTGCAAGCTTAAACACTCAAAGAGCCATTTGGACCCATTTCCCACAGAAAAGAAAACACCGGGAGCCACAAAACCCTTCCCGTGCCTCACTATTTCTTGAGCGGCCACAAAACTAGCATATGTAGTTGAATTAAATGTTCTGTTTTCTTCTGAAACTTTTCTTTTCTTGGATTTATCCATGGTTGGCCTACCGGGGATTGAAAAGCTCAATAAATCGTGTGCCGGTGGGTGTCGCACATTGATGGTTGTGGTGCATATTTTGAGTGACAGGGAGCCACAGCAGGGGTGAAAGAGCCACATGCAGCTCCAGTGCCACAGGTTGCTGACCCCTGCTCTAGTACTACAGTAAATAAAAAGATTCCTAATTCTACAGCAAATACTTGTAATACTTGTTTATCCAGACAGTTGGAATCTTTATCCAAATTTATGCCTTGGATAATGCTCCTGAAAGAATATGTCTTGACATTCTTTCCTGGCATTGTTTGTTCATCTTCCCCATGACCCCACCACAAATAGGCAGATCTGGGGTGAAGAGATTTACCTTACATTATTCTCTGAATCTCGCCCTACAAGAACAGAACCACTGCACAATACCCCTAACTGCAAACCACAGAGATAATAGAGAAGGATACTGTGATGAAATGCTACTGAGAGATTCAAGAGAATCAACAAGGTTATACCCATTTTTCTCCCTGGAAAAGCCATTTGTTACAGTTGTTACATTTGTTACAGCAACAAAGGTTGAACCAATCCCATAATTAAAACTAGATGATTCATATTTCCCCAACTGCTATTGTTGTTTATTCTCTGAGAAGTAATGATTGGTAGCTTTAGGAATTGGAAGCATTTTTGATCTTCCTCCTATAATTGATTGTTACTGTGCTTCTGAAGTTTCATATATATTTGCTAAACTACAATTCTTCAAAAATCAACTTTATCCTCTCTAGTGGAAGAGATATAATTTTGTGTGGGAGTAAATATCACTGATTAGTAGAAGACAATTTTTTCCCGTAAATTTACATGTAAATCCATGCACACAAGCCTTAAAACATGACTCAAAGCTGACAATTTCACACATTGCAGTTCCTTGCAATGTTCTAGATTTAGAAAAAAACTTAAAATTTAAATTAGAGTCTAACTATATATGATGCGGGAGCACCTTTAGCAATTTCTTATGACATAGGAGATAGTTTATCTAATGATCTTTTGGATAAGAATAAATCACATCTTATTTTCATCTGTAGAATGTTGGAGAACAAGGCCACATGAATGTAATATATGTTTTAAAATGTTCCTCTGCACGCTTTGCAAAAGATTGATGTAATCCATTGAGGTAAGCCATTAATGATGGATTCTCAGAGGTTTCTCAGCAGAAAGATTGATGTAGAAAGTGTTCCCTGGACGTCGAATATTTCAGAAACATTGCTTTAAGTAAGATTCACTGGAAATGAACTAATGATGTTGCTGGGCACTTGAAGCCATCCCTAACGGATGTTTATCCTGTACTTTCATGAAACCTCCAAAGAAGGAGATTCTGCAATTTCCTTAGGCAATTTGCTATATTGCTCAACTTCTCTTACAAGTAGGAAATTTTTCCTAATCTTTCTCTTGAATCTCTGCAAATAGAATTCACTTCCTCTTGTCCTAATGCAAGAGGCAAAAGAAGAACTATGTTGTGGTCTACCTCTTTGAGAGACAATTGTTTTTATCATATCTATCTCCTTAGCAAATTATACCCTGTTTCCCCCAAAATAAGACATCCCCTGATAATAAGCCCAATTGGGCTTTTGAGTACATGGCAATAAGGCCAGGCGCTTATTTCAGGGTTCAAAAAAATATAAGACAGGCTCTTATTTTCGGGAAACACGGTATTCTTGTAGCTTCTTGATATACATTAAGGGCTCTTATTTGGATAGCAAGGTATAACAATTCCTGCTTTGTGTATATGTATTATTATATCAGCTGCAATAAAGTGGAGATTTGTAGTACTTCATTTGGCAGCTTTATACTTTGATGAGCAGTATTAGTTATGATGCACCTGAAAATAGAGTTGAAATAAGAAAATAAATGATTGGGATAAGCTATGCCAGTCTAACTGACTATTAGATAATAATTGCATACTAGATGATGATGATGATAACGATGATGATGATGATAGTAATAGTATTATTATTATTATTATTATTATTATTATTATTACTACTACTACTACTACTACTACTACTGTGGATACGAACTTGCAAAGAAAGGACTGAAAATCTCGTACTTGATGTACATGGATGATTTGAAGCTGTTTGGTAAAACAAAAGCTGAACTGAATTTATTAATTGAAAACACAAAAGAATTCAGCCAAGACATCAGTATGCAGTTTGGAATTGACAAATGTGCAACAATAGCAACCAAAGCAGGCAAGATCATAAAAGAGGATGGAATAGAACTAGAGAATGAAGAAATGATAAAGGCAGTAAAATCAGAAGAAGGCTACAAGTACTTGGAGATTTTAGAAGCCTCTGACTTAATGCATAAAAAAGTCAAGGAATTAACTTCAGCCAAGTACATTCGTAAGATATTAATGTCCAAATTGAGTGGAGGAAACATCATAAAAGCCATAAATACCTGGGTTATACCTGTAATTAGATACTCTGCAGGAATAATTGACTGGACCCAGATGGAGTTAGACAATTTGGACAGAAAAACAAGGAAGCTTATGACAATGAATCATGCCTTGCACCCTAAAAGTGATGTTGACCGATTATATTTACCAAGAGCAGAGGGTGGTCGAGGACTCCTACAAGTAAAGCAGACTGTGGGAGAAGAAAAACGCAGCTTGAATGATTACATCCAGAAAAGTGAAGAACCAATGATTAAGGAAGTAAATAAAGGAGGCCTTTTAAAGACAACTAATACAAAAGCAGAATATAAGAAAAAAGTAATGGAGCAGCGAGCTGAAAATTGGAAACACAAAGCTCTGCATGGCCAATACTTGAAAAGTATTGAAAGCAAAGCTGACCAGAAACTAACTTGGAACTGGTTAAGATCAGGAGTACTGAAAAAAGAAACAGAAAGCTTTATTTTGGCAGCTCAAGAACAAGCCCTAGCCACAAACTGCATGAAGGCAAAAATTCAACATGTTACCACCAACAGCAAATGCCGCCTCTGCAATGAGAAAGATGAGACAGTCGACCACCTGATCAGTGGATGCAGCAAAATTTCACAATCTGACTACCTACAACGCCATGACCGTGTTGCTAAGATCATTCACTGGAAATTGTGCCAGAAGTTTGGATTTGAATACAGCAAAAACCATTGCGAACATCAGGTTGAGAAAGTTTTAGAGAATGAGAAACTCAAGATCTTGTGGGACTTTACGATTCAGACTGACAGGCACTTGGTCCACAACACACCTGACATAACAATAGTTGAAAAGAAAAAAGTATGGTTCATTGACATTGCGATATCTGATGATGCACGGATTGAAGATAAGCAGCAAGAAAAAATCACAAAGTACCGGGACTTGCAAATTGAAGTTGAGCGACTGTGGAAAAAAAAATTGTGTGCTGTCCCGATTGTAATTGGAGCCCTTGGAGCAATACCCAAAGGGTTACCCCGCTATTTAGAAATTCTAAATTTGCCGGACTTGAACATTTTGACTTTACAAAAAACCACCTTACTCGGAACAGCTTACATCCTCTGACGATAACTTAACAGTTCCTAGGTCCTTGGTTAGGACTCGAGCTGCTGAGCTATTAACCAGCCTCAAAGGCTGTGAATCTCACTAAAGATTAAATAATAATAATAATAATAATAATAATAATAATAATAATAATAGCCCCAAATGAGGCACTACCTTGATGTGGTTGTGGGGCTTCTGTGTGAGGCAGATGAGAGCAGCTATGTGAGCAATTCAACCATAGTGGACAGGTCTCATCAGAGGAGTCAGACAAAGAGTGCCTCTCCCATAAAAAAATATGGAGACATAAATTTCAGAAAGCTATACCAGTTCAGATGTCACCTGGGTTAACAAGGTCCATATTAGATGTTGGAGTTCCTGGATATATGGTAAAAAATGGACTGCAGGACTCAGGAGTGTTGGCTAAGCAACCAGAGCCAGCAGCTGCAGATCTATTGGAAGAAAAGGTGTTTACTTGTTGCAAATATACAGTGATTGAAAACAAAGAAATAATGATCTGGCATTATAGATCAAGTCCAACAAAAAGAGGATATTTGAAATGAGTGCACCAGTTCTGGAAAGAACAACATCCAGAATCAGAAATAACAGAACAGAGGCTAGCAGAGCAATGTAAATTTATAATATGAAATAAAGTACTCACAGAAGCAGAATTGGAAGAACTGCAAAGGTTATCCAGGTCAAAGAAATCAAAGCTTGCCAGAAGTAACTCAAAATGTAGAGGCAAACCAGGGGGACTTGGCAGTAGAGGAATCCAACAAAGATATACAACAGTATTCATTTAGAAATCAGGCACTCTCTCCTTTGCCTCAGGAAGAGCAAAGCCCTCTAACTAAATAAGTAAAAGAATTGAAACAAAGAATAACTAAGCATCTAGAACAGCACAAAAACATCAGAATAAGGCTGCATGCATTGAAGCTTGTTCCAAAGAAACATCTAGCACAAGCATTAAAAGATGCAAATACTGCAATGTCAATTATAAGCACCAACTTACTGCAAGACGTAAACAATTAATGTATAGCATAACTTGCATCCCCAGGTAGGGATGCAAAATCAACAAAGAAGAAAAAAACTGAACAGTGCATCATAAAAATGGAAGATAAGACTGGAAAATAAGTTCAGCAAGATAGATAGATAGATAGATAGATAGATAGATAGATAGATAGATAGACAGACAGACAGATAGATAATTTTATTTCTATACTGTCCCTCTCCCGAAGGACTCGGGGCGGTGCACAGCCAAGTAAAAAACACAATACAAATCCGAATTAAATTTAAAAATTATTAAAATTAAGTTAAAATTAAGTTAAGATTAAAATTAAGTTAAGATCAGACACAAGCAAGCTAGATGAAAGAAAAGCTGAAGAACAAGAAGACCACAGAATACCTAATCGAGAAATACCACTTAGAAACAAGGAAGATCAAGGAAGGACTGGAAATAATAAATCAGCAAATAACAGCTATAGCCAAGAAGATCAACAGATATGAAGCTTGAATTGCAAATTATGGGCAGAACCTCCAATTTCAATCCAATCAGGAACATTTCTATCAATCCATCAATGGATAAACTGCAGTGAATCAGTTAGTACTTGACAAGGAAGAAACTGCAGTTTTGGGTGCAGATATGGAATAACCCAAAGAAATACAACAAGGACTCAGCTTGATTAAAAGAGGTAGATAAGAATAAAAAAAGAAGTTGCAATGGAAGAACTAGTAATAACAGCAGAAATGGTAGAGAAAAAAGCAGGAAAATCAAGAATTGATTAGCACCAGACGAAGATGAACTGCATGATTTTTGGTTGAAACATCTAATTGGTCTATACCCATTCGTTACTAAGTAGTTTAAGAACATACTACAAGGAGGTGAAATTGAAGAATTCTCCGAATGGCTCAAAATTTCCTCTCCTGGTTGTCCAGAACCTGTCAGAACCTGCTGGATTTCACCCCTGATTCTTGGGTTTAAAGTGTGCATATATATTGTGTTAGCTGAAGATCCTCCTAAGCTCTTCAGCCAACTCACCTGTGCTTAACTGAATGATAGAAATCTATATCAAATTCTAAATACAAATATTGACATAATAACATGCATCTCTTCCCCCTTCTGCCATTCAGAAAATACATAGAAAGCTGGACAAACTGGAAATTTATTTCTAGTCTCTGGAACACTTTTATATTTTTGCAATATTACTATTATGCCTAGAGTTTTTCCCTCTTGAGTTCAGAGTGGTTTTCTTTTTTTGAGAAAGTCTGCATTTGTAGGTTTCCCCTGCCCTCCAGCGCAGTTGACTTTGGAACAGAGTGATCTATTGAAACATCAATGCAAAGAAAGAATGCATCACTGTATAAAGTTCATAATGGAAAGACAGAAGAGAAAATAGAGCATCTCCGTTTTTGATTTTATGCATCTTTAACTCTTTCTTAATGAAAGCTTTGAGATTTTAGGCTAAAATAAAGTTTACTTACAATTACTGAGCAGTAATGATATCAAACAGTTAAGAAAAAGTGAGTTAATAGTGTTCAACACAAGTAATCATGTTAAATACTAAAATTATTTTTTTTTAAAAAAAAACTTGAATCCTCATATCTCTTGGAATGTATTGTATTGCAAGATGTTAGAGTAAATTAAATTCTCCCCTGCACTCTAAAGCATCAATTTCCTTATGGTAATTATCTGCTAGATTGGATCTGTCAGTAGCAGGGAAGCATGCCTGACATTATACCCTCTTTACAAAAATGATTACAAAAAATTAAGACGAATGAGTAAAATTAAGGTTGGGACTGGTAAGCCAATATAAAGCTCTCATGGATCACTTTACCCAAGGTACCATTGTACTGGAGGCATCAGCTTTTAATGACTAGCCATATAATGATGGGAAGTCCATTAAAATGCTGCAAAGGTAACTGATCAGAGAGATAAGGGCTCAACAATGATTTTTCAGCCAACTAGAAGCAATTTATTATACACAAAAAACTGACCTCTAAATGAAATGCCTGGATGGATGAGGAAGTTTTTGCAAGTTGGCAGGTTTTCATCCTGAGAAAGTTTTTACAAATATGACAGGATTTCATTTTTGTCTCATTTTAATCTCCTTCCTCTTCCTTTTTGGAATTTTTCCACCCTACATGGAATTATGGTACTCAGCTTCATTATATCAGTTCAAAAATAAATCAAAAGCAGGCATGAATGCAAGACAGGCATTTCTTGCCAATCACGGTTCTATGAAAATCAAATTAACTTCAAAACAAGTGGTACTTTTAAAACAAATATCAATATATATTGTTGTCCAAGGAAATACAATCTACTACTATGGCATATTAGTTAGGGCCTATCACCTATCAACCCTGATTTGATACAAAACGTTTTGAGTCTAAAAGTAAATTGATTTGGGAATTTAAGTTATACAGAGAGAACCCATCCAGGATCTTATGCTCCTGAAGAAATACAAACATCTTCTACAAAACAAAAAGAGAAAACTTACTAAAATTTCCTGGCAGTGATTGGTAACAGCTTCCCAAGCCAAGAGTTCTACTTTATTTTGGCACCTGTTAGCTTCCATCCATTTGATAAATCCTTTTCACTTTTTTATCTTACACCTGCCTTTCTATGGAAGGACCCTTTTAGAGCATTATAGTCAAAAGAAGGGTTTCCTGACTTCAATTTAGCTCTCAACACCAACCTGCACCCAAATGGGGTCCCAGTTATAAGTGTTGAAATAAATACTCATTAATCAGCTAAAACCTGGTAAAGCTGCATGCAATAATTTTATCATGCCTGAAATACTATGAAATAATCTGGAATGATAGAACACCCCCCCCCATTCCTTGCCTCTCTGTTTACTTATATTGATCATACTGCACAAATTCTAGAGACGTGGAAAGGTATAACTATTATTGTGTCTATTTACAAAAAGGGCACCCAAAACCTGCCCGCTAACTATTGGCTTATCAACTTCTTAAGGATAATTAGTAAGCTCTAGGTTAAATGTTTATACAACAAATTAGTCAATTGGAAAGCGTAGAGCATATTCTGGGAGATGAACAAGCAATCTTCAGCTCTATTTATGCACTTATTCCTCAACACCTGGCCAAAAAATACATGTCCAAACCAGATTCATCCTTATTTTCTGCATTTATAGATTTCAGGTCTGCATTTGATTTCGTTCCCAGAGAAAGGCTCTGTTCTAAGCTTCTGCATACAACCATTGACAGATTTCTACTATTGCTTATGCACAATCTTGATAAGAACTCCAGAATCAAAATCCAATGCATTCTAGCTCCTCTGCTGTTTAATCTGTATATGAATCAATTTTATGGCCCAATTAAACTAAATTAGAGCACTATCCTCCAAAATTAGCTAATAGACATATTGCATTTTTGTTATATGCAGATGATATAGTACTTTTATCACAACTGCAAATTAGACTTAGGCGACTCTTAAATGTTCTGGTTAGTTACTGATCTGAAGAGGCTTTTAAAACTAATTATAGTAAACCTAAGAACATGATGTTTGCAAAAAGACCTAAATTGCACATCAAATCAATATACCACTTCTGTATATGCATAGAAATGACTTGTTTTGTTCCAGATGTTCTGATTCCCAGCCTTAACATTGCAAATAATTATTTTGTGTGCAGGAGTATGAAGGAGTGGATGAGTGTCAATCATTTGAAATTATCTGAAACGTATGGCCACATTTTATAATAAAATAAATAAATAACTTTATTGTCATTGTATGTGTTTTTCCATGTCATCAATATTTTAAAATAAACACTTGCCCATATTTACATAGTTTCTACTCAGATCTTATTCCTTTTGAGAATTTTCAAGGAATAATATATGTTCTGTGACTTAACAATTACATTGTTGAATATAATTAATGACACATTGAAATCAGCTCCAGAACAAGCATATATGCATACACACGTCTGTATACAAAATGAATTCTTCTAAGGTTGGTACAGCAGAGATTCCATGCAGTAATCTCATAAAATAATGTCTTGTTTAAAAAGAGAAAGTTGGCCCAAATCTGATTTGATTTTTCAAGATGTTTTAAATGGATGAAGTAGCTTCTGGTCTGGAGAACAATAAAAACTACACAAGAGAGACTGGATGGAAGGCAAGGATAACCTCTTAGTTAGAACATGTGTGCTATGCAGTCATCTTCACCTCCCATTTCCAACTCTATTCTGAAGTTCCTTTAAGGACCTACCTATTATATAAATATGAGCTTATTTACGGAATCAAAGTGTTTATAGTTAATATAATTATATGACACCTTGCCAATATTTGATTTGCTAGTTGACTGGAAAAACACTTTGATTGGGGTCTGTTTAGTCAAATTATTTAATCCTTTTGCAAGCCAGCCACTGAAAATAAAATAAAATAATGGAAATGAGAGTGAAAAGATTTCATGGTTGTATGTGTGCTTTAAAATCCCACAAATTATCGGTGATAAAATTATCTGTGATAAATAAAGAAATAAACAACAAATAGTATAATGAACTTAATTCAGGAAAAAGTAAATTTGTTTTAAATTTAGTAGATATCATAATGTCATAATGAAAAAAGAAATGTTCTATCTTCCCTGGCATTGCTTTGTCAGAATCAGTAAACATCCCTAGAAAGCTATCACTTGTCACAGATGGACATGAACTGAGAGTTGTGTATCTCTAAGTCATTTTATTCACCCTTTTAACATGTGATAGAAAGGAACAACTCCATTTGATGAATGACCACTTGTTTAGACACAAGAACAATGTGCTTTTAAAATGTGGGAGATGGTAAAAATTCAGCATGATTTCAATCACTTTGTTATTTTGAGGTATCCCCTGACAGGGTTGGGTAAAAAGAAAAACGCAGTATAAAGAAATTTATCAAGGAGAGATCCAACCTAGAACTAAGGAGAAATTTCCTGACAGTGAAAACAATTAGCGGAAAGGCTTGTCTCCAGAAGCTGTGAGTGCTCCATCACTGGATGTTTGTAAGAAGAGATTAGATAATCTATGTCTGAATTTATCCGAAATGTCATAGGGTTTGCTGCTTGAGCAGGGAGGTTTGGACTAGAAGACCTCCAAGGTCCCTTCCATCTCTGTTATTCTGTTATTTTGTTCTGTTATTTTTTATTTTCACAGTGATAAACTAGGCATGGCAAACAAGAGTCTCTAGATAATGTTTCCCAACCTCAACAACTTAATGATGTGTAGGCTTCAACAATCAGAATTCCCCAGGGGAATTCAATTCTGGAAATTAAAGCCCGCACCTCTTGAAATTGCTGAGGTTAGGAAACACTTTTCTAGAGGCAAGCATAGCTCACTGGAGTTTCCCGTGTGTTTGCAAAATTCTTCCAAAACTTCTCTTTTCTCCCAATCCACCAAGGTTTGGAAACAACCTTCACTTATGTGAATAAATATTATCTGGAAATCTGATTTCCATATGAGGGGGCATCTCTGAGGACAGCTAGTTGACAATGAGGGAAAAAATAATTTGCTGCTCTTCAATATTGCAAACTCCCAGAGGGATTAAACGGGGAACAGAGCATTAAGAAATGTGTTTTTTTTTTTAAAGATTTGCTTGGTGTTCATGCACATCTGTATATCATATTTTGATGCTTTATGTATATGCCTATATGTTCTGGAGGACCATCCACAGGAAGGGTAGGTAGTAATAATTGCTTTCCTAGAATAGAAAGGTGAGAGAGCAGAGCAGAAGAATTGTCCAATAGGAGGTCTTGGTAGCCTGTTTGAAATGAACACATTTCTTCCTGAAGTGTGTCACTGTGGAGAAGATTTCTTAAACTGTTTTACAGCAGTGTTTCTCAATCTCAGAAATTTCAAAGTTGTGGACTACAGCTCCCAGAATTCTTCAACTAGTATGCTGACTGGAGAATTGTGGAAGTTAAAATTCAAACATCTTAAAGTTGCTGAGATTAAGAAACCCTGGCAAACCAGCATGAGCACAGGGCAGAAACTGCTTAAATGTAAGTGTGGATATGCCCAAAAGTATCTATTGTATCTAGAATGACATATAAGAATCAATACAAAATAAAAATAATGTTGATAAAACTCAATACACATTATCAAGAACAATGTGAGAATCAAAAGAAGCTATGTGAACATAAAACCCATTGTAAAAAATTACAGAAGAATAAATACTGTAATCTGTAAATACTGTACTGTAAATATTGTAAATACTGTAAAAGATCGCTATGTGAAAGAATGTCCAGATGAAATATAATCCAAGATCCTTGAGAGCTCAGTTGCCTGCACCAGTCTATGATACCCCTGTTTTCCCCAAAATAAGACATCCCCTGATAATAAGCCCAATCGGGCTTTTGAGCACATGGCAATAAGGCCAAGCGTTTATTTCAGGGTTCAAAAAAATATAAGACAGGGTCTTATTTTTGGGAAAACACAATAGAAATATCCTCTAAAGTTCCTAGAAGAAGTGTGAAGGAGATGAAAAGTAGTTTCAAAATGCCAAAAGAATTTTGTCAGAAGTGGCACAGGCTTATTTCAAATACTTTCTTGGTAGTCTTAGATCTTTAATTCTTAGCAAAATCTAAAGCAAGTTATTGAACTTAAATAACAATTCAGCACAAATAGTTGAAATACAATATTTCAATCTACTGTTCATCAGTTAAAACAATTTCACTATCACAAAAATTATCAGAAAGGGGAACTATTGTGAATAAGAAAATGTAGCTGGATGAAAATGTTCAGGAAAGGAAAGATGGAGATAGATGGCTACCTTACATAACATGATAAGCTGGTTATAAGATTAGTCAAATAACAAATTAAATTGACATAACTTTTAAAAAGTATGTTACAAACATATAATTCCCTTTAAAAATAAACTCCAAAGTAAAATCTACTTTGATTGGTCTTGGGTTGATTTGACTAGGAGAATTCAATATTTAGTATTATAGGAATAAATTATATAGGTAGTATATTGCTTCCAAGAAAGAAGAGAAACATAATGCCTTTTGTTCTGTAACTACAAAAGAGTGTATTCATCTGAACAGAATTCTAGTTAATGGAGAAGTAATTCTTTTCACTCAAATAGTGATAGCAGGGGGAAGAAAGGCACCAAGATTTTCACCAACTTCTTTATGTTTGTATTATCTACAGTATAACTTTCCGCAAGTCATATCTGAGTACCGATACCATTGTCCAGAATGCAGAAAACCAATATCAAATTGGGAGACTACATGGTGAAGGTGGGATTCCAGAAAGACGAGTAGCACTAGCACTAGCACTTAGACTTATATACTGCTTTACAGTCCTCTCTAAGCAGTTTAAAGAGTCAGCATATTGCCCCCAACAATTTGGGTCCTCATTTTACCCACCTTGGAAGGATGGAAGGCTGAGTCAACCTTAAACTTGATGAGATTTGAACTGCCAAATTGCAGGCAGTTGACAATCAGCAGAAATATCCTGCAATACTGCAGTCTAGCCACTGTGCCACTCTGGCTCATAAGTAGTACTGGAGAAACCACTGGAGTTATAAGACAGACAGATAGAGGGAGACAATGCTAGTGGTGTCAGAGTCTTTGCTTTGTGACATCAAATACATTGCTGACCAGAGTGCTTGAACAAGGCCAACCTTAGAGAGCCTGTAATGACAAGAAGGTTGGACTTTCTCTCCGTCAGGATAAAGGCTAAATTAGGTTTCAAATGTGGAGATTTTTTCCTCTTCCTCTGACATTGCTGGTACTAATGGTGCTAGCTGAGCCCCTCTTCCTCCTCTAAACTGAGTCTGTTCCAATAGAGTAATGTCCCTTGTTAGAGAAGCCACTCTTTGCACCTGTGGCTATAAGCTGTAAGCCACAGGAATCTTCTCCATCCCTGCTCACCAAACTGAATCCATTTCTTCTAGCAGTTGGTACTTCGCTTATTCTGAACTTACTGTAAGATGGATACTCCATCTTCTTACCTCTTTAGAACTGCTTCTGCTTCTGATAATTTCTTTTCTGGAAAAAAGAACTATTTAGTTCTGTTTTGGAAAAAGAACTATCCAGATTCAAAAGAAATAGATTTAAACTTACATTCATGTGTTTCTACCCCTTTTAAACATTATTTACTTCCAATTCATTTTATAACACAAGAACGAGGAATACCAGCTCCTCTTTACACTATCTCATTTTACTCATCCATTGGTTTTCTGTGTGTTGTTTATCCATGAGACATTTTTCTTTCACTTGGTATATTCATTATGAAATCATTCTCTGAAAAGATACAGGCCACTGGTTTTTTGCAATTTTCATGAGCACTAGTTATGTTGAAAGCTAAGCTTTTTGGTCCTCTTGCTTCAGAATTGCATTAATATTTGTGTGACCTTTACTGGGTAGCAGATGAGAAGCATTAGGAATAAAATGATAAATCCACAGAGATAGTATGCTTGAAAATGGTGGATTTTATTGGCCATCTTGAGCCAACAGGAACAGAAAAAAGGCATAATCTATTTATCACTAAGTTGTAAAAAAAAGCATAAAATACAGGTAGTCCTCAACTTATGACAACTGCGCTCAAAATTTATGTTGCTAAGTGAGACAGTTAAGTGAATTTTGCTCCATTTTATGACATTTCTTACTACAGTTGTTAAGTGAATCACTGCATTTGTTAAGTTAGTAACACAGTTGTTAAGTGAATCTGGCTTCCCCATTAACTTTGCTTGTCAGGAGGTTGCATGACCCTTGGACACTTCTACCATCATAAATATGAGTCAGTTGCCAAGTCTTTGAATTTGATCATGTGATCATGGAGATGTTGCAATGGTCATAAGTGTGAAAAATGGTCATAAATCACTCTTTTCAGTGCTCAAAGTACGTTGTAATTTCTAACAGTCACTAAATGAACTGTTATAAATTGAGGATTGTCTGTAATTCTACTATAACTGGGATATTGTGAGTTCTAGTCCCATTTTAGGTACAAGGCCACCTGATGTGTTACTCCCTCCCTCTCAGCCCTAGGAAAAAGGCAATGGTAAAACATTTCCATTGACAGTTTATACTATGTTTCTTTCTTTCTTCTTTCATTACTGAATTTAGGAAACATTCAAAAGTACTGATTGCTTCCTTGGAATTGGATAGTTAGGAGCAGTAAATCATACAATCGAATCATAGGACTGGAAGGGACCTTGGAGATCTTCTAGTTCAAACCCCTGCTCAGTACCAGGAGACTGAATAGCACCACAGTAAAATGGTTGTCCTGTCTGCTCTTGAAAACTTCCAGCATTGGAGCAGCCACAACTTTGGGAGGCAAGCTCTTCTCTTGATTAATTGTGCTCATTGTCAGGAAATTTCTCCTTGGTTCTAGGTTGGATCTCTTTAGTTTCCACTTATCAAGTTTTGTCCTGCCCTCAAGGACTTTGGAGAAGAAGTTTACCCCTCTTCTTTATGAAAGCCCCTCAAATGTTAAAAGACACCTATCAGGTCACTGTTTTACTGTTTGATAAGCTAGACATATACATATATGGTTTAGCCTCCAGACCTCTTTATCACCTTAGTTGCTGTTTTATGCACTGCACTCCTTCTAGGGTGTGAACATCTTTTTTTTTTTTTTTGGTATCATAGTAACCAGAACCAGACACAATATTACAAGTGTGACCTCATTAAAGCCATATAAAGTAGTACTACCACTTCTTGTGATCTTGATTTTATTGGGATTTTTGGCAGCCAGGTTTTAGTAGCAAATTGATAATATCCCACTCCAAAATGGGATATTATTTGAATGACTTGCTCAGTAATTTCATATAGGTGTTAAACAGCATGGGGGACAACACGAACTATAGGTCAGCGATGCCAATATGTTAAACATTAATCTCATAGCACCATCTTCTGGACATACCCAACAGAAAGCACCATAATTATTGTGAAACAAGACCCCTAAGGCCTAATGCTACCAGGCAGTTCTGAGGAAACTAGGTGAAAGCTGCACTTTACTTTTCTAATTTCTATCACATGTCATGCAACAAGTTGATAAAAAAGAAATTTGAGCAACGTATCCTGAAAGACCAACTGAAATAGATTGTAAAAAATCAGTATCATTCAAATATGTCTGATGACATGGGCTACCACCCTTTCTCAATTGCTTTTCTCAGCAATGCAAAATAATTGTAGAGATGTCCCAGATCAAGTGAATTTTTTTACACCAAAAATTTTACAACTGTCACCATAATGGCTAGATCTAACCTGCCAAGTTATATAGTATACTTGGATTTCAGAAAAGTATTTGACAAAGTAGACCACAGCCTACTTCTTGGTAAATTAGAAAAATGTGGAATAGGCATTGGTTGACAAACCAACGTGTAGTCCTTAAAGGAACTACATCTACATGGAAGGAAGGAAGCAGTAGGGTACCCCAAGATTCTGTTCATAAAAGATGAGGGAACAGATTTAGAAACAATTTAGATGAGGGAATAGAAGGGAAACTCATCAAATTTACAAATGACACTGAACTGGGAGAAATAGCTAACGCCCTAGAAGATAGGCCCAAGATCCAGAAGGACCTTGACAGAGTTAAATAATGGGTGCTATCTAATAAAATGAAATTCAATAGTGAGAAAAATAAGGTTTTACACTTAGGCAATATACAGGTATGGAATAGGTGGAAACTGGCTCAATAGTAGTAACTTGCAAGAGGAATCTTGGAGTCCTAATGGACAATCATTTAAATATGAGCCAGCAGTGCCAAAAAAGCATTGCTGGCTTAACAGATAGAATTAAGATTATGTGAAGTGTTGGTACTGCTTTATAATGTCTTGGTAAGACCATATTTGAAATATTGCACCCAATTTTTGTCACCACAATATAAAAAAAAGTGGTTGAGATCAGTGGTGGGATTCAATTTTTTTAACAACAGGTTCTGTGGGCGTGGCTTAGTTGGGGGTGTGGCTTGGCAACCATGTGACTGGGTGGGCGTGGCTAGCTGGTCACGTGACTGTGTAGGCGTGGCTAGCTCGTCATGTGACCGGGTGGGCGTGGCTATGTGCATAGGGACTACTCAGAGGGCTGAAAAAAGTCATTTCTGACTGGGCCTCGCACTTTTGACCGGTCCTCACACTTATGACCATCCTCACATTTATGCCCGTGCAGTTTTCTTAACAACCATGTCACTCATTTCACAGCTGCTTCTCTTCACCATGGTGACAAGATAGGGCAAAAACGTGAAATGTGAAGACAGTCGTAAGTTCGAGGACTGGTCAAAAGTGCGAGGACCAGTCAAAAATAACTTTTTCAGCCCTCTGAGTAGTCCATATGCACAAAAGGACTACCCAGAGGGCTGAAAAAAGTGATTTCTGACAGGTCCTCGCACTTTTGACCGGTATTCGCACTTATGACTGGTCATCATTTATGCCCATTGTAGCATTCTTAACAACCATGTCACTCATTTCACAACTGCTTCTCTTCACCATGGTGACAAGATAGGGCAAAAACGTAAAATATGAGGACAGTCGTAAGTTCGAGGACTGGTCAAAAGTGCGAGGACCAGTCAGAAATAACTTTTTCAGCCCTCTGAGTAGTCCATATGCATAAAAGGATACAGCAATAGAGAGGGATGAAGGAAGGGAAGGGAAATTAGAGTAGGAGTGAGGGTAAGAGAGGGAGGAAGAGAGGAGGAGAAGGAGAAAGGAAGAGGAAGTAGGGAGGAAGAGAAAGTAAGAAGGAAAGAAAAGAGAGAGGTGGTAGGTTTGAGGAGAAAGATTGCTGTACAATAAAAAAGATGAAAGGGAAGAAAGCCAACCCCAAACAAATATAAAGATATTAAGATAAAGAATGAATTGTTAAACTTTAAAGAATAAAAGAGAACAAATATGAATAAATAACAATAATTAGAAACACACATACAAACATACAATGTATTTTCTTTGAACAGAGTATTTGGCCAGTTCACAAATTTAAACAGTGTTTAGTCATTTCAATTAAATTTACAATTTCTATATTTCCTTTTTGCCATATTTATTCCTCATCTGTTTTTGTGAAAAAACCAATATTACCCTTCATCATCATCTCTAATCTTAATCAAATTCAATTTTTCCCTTCTATTCTATATTATACCCCTTCCCATTGTCATCTATTTTTATATCCATCCTCACATTGGTTAATTATGTAATATTACAGTTGTTTAATATAAATTCAACATTTTAATATAAATCAATTATATAACTTCCTTTTTTGTATATTAATATGAACATGAATATTCCAATTATTTCCATGCAATCCAATTTCTTACAAATCAATTAATTATATTTACCAATAATAATAAACCAAATAATTTCCCCCATATATTCCTCCAAACCACAACTTAACCATTTCTGCTTTCAGAAATATACAATTAATAGTATCTCAATTATTACAATTCCCTAGTTAAATAGAGCTTTTTTTCTTTTGTGTTTTAAAATCTTGAACTCTCCTCTTTTTCCCTAAATTTCCCATTGTTTGCACCTACCTTTTTTGGTGAGGAAAAAGAAAAGAATTCTGCCTGCCTAATTTTCCAACGTTGCAGCAACAGCAAAGCAGTTTCAGTTTCGTGTTTCAGCAGAGCTAAGGGAAAAAAAATCTGCTCCAGGACTCTTTGCAAGGAAGCAGCAGAGCCCTGGGCAAAACAGCTGAGAGCAAGTCAGCTGGGGGTCGGGAGCCGATCTAATCAATGGCTAATTAGCCTATGCTGAAGCTCCGTGGGCCAATAAAATTACAAAAAAACACCGAACCATTTGTTAAATTGCTGGCTCCCGCACCCCTCGCCCACCACTATTTATTGGCAATAAATAGTGGTGCGGAAGGGCAGGGCAAGCCAGCAATTTAACAAACGGTTCGGCTGCACCACTGGCTATAGAGCGGCCCTTTGAAGCCCCGTGGCAAGAATTTGAAGTTTTTTTTCCTCTAGCCATCAGCTGGGACTCCGGAGGCAGCAATAGATTGGGAGTGGGCGGGGTAAGCGAACGGCCGGCGATCCAACAAAGCAGAGAGTGAGGGTGAGCGAAGGCGTGGAAGCTGCTTTCTCCATCCTGCTCTCTTGCGTCCGGAGCCTGTGGGGAACCACGTGGCAGCCCACGTGGATTCCAGGCAGCGGAACTCAGGCTAGGGAAGGGGTGGGCAATTGTGGCTCTTTTACAACCTGTGGCCTTCAACTCCCAGAATTCCTGAGACAGCCAAGCTGTCTCAGGAATTCTGGAAGTTGAAGTCCACAGGTTGTAAAAGAGCCACAATTGCCTACCCCTGGCTAGGGTAGGCTGGCGCCGCGCTGGTGGGAGACGGGGCGGGCGAGCCAGCAATTTAACAAATGGTTCAGTGTGCTGCGGGGCCAATAAATTACAAAAAAACACTGAACCATTTGTTAAATTTCTGGCTTGCTCGCCCCATTTATTGGAATAAATAGTAGTGCGGAGGGGCGGGGCAAGGGGCGGGGCGAGCCAGCAATTTAACAAAGGGTTCGGCCGAACCCCCTAGAACTGGCAGAATCCCACCACTGGTTGAGATTCTAGAAAGAGTACAGAGAAAAGTAACAAAGATGATTAAGGGGTCTGAGGATAAAATATATAATGGTTGCAAGAATTGAGTATGTCTAAGTCTAGTGAAAAGAAAGACTAGGAGCAACATGATAGCAATGTTTCAATATTTGAGGTATTGCCACAAAGAATAAGGAATCAACCCATTTTCCAAAGCACTGAAAGCAAGACAAGAAGCAATGGATGAAAACTAATAAAGGAGGGAACCAACCTAGAACTATAGAGAAAAGTGAAAAACTTTTCTGGGCAAAAAGTGTTTGGGTAGCTACCACAGGTTCCACCCTCTGAGAAGGCCAAGTTCTCAGCATGTGCTGGCCTCCACCCACCCTGCCAGGAGAATGAAGAGCCAAGATCAGCAGCAACATGGGCAGCCGCTTGGCGGCCAGCATGGTGCTCGCCACAGCCAAGAAGTGTCCCAGCTCATTGCTGCCTGCACTTTAAAAAATGAGACCTCCCCAAAAATAAGCCCAAGAGTTTATTTTTAAACCCAAAAGAAAACAAGACAAGGTTTTATTTTCGGGGAAACATGGGACTCTGTGGTAAAAAGCAATGTAGACTTTCTTGGTTATACATGTCATAGGCTAAAAAAAAGTCCCAGAGGTAATAAATGAACACTATTTTACAAGGCACATTTCTTTGACTAGGATTAAAGAAATAATTAATAAAATTGAGAAATCAATATATTTTAATGAGTTATGGGATTTTCATAAAACTATATGGAAAAATGTGTATTTTATTAAAATATGCTATGTACTTGAGTGTATTATTATATGGAACATTACTTTTCTATCTCATAAAGGCAAACACTGAAAAAGTGTTGATTTTTAAAAACAAATCCATGTTACAATTTTTATTTCCCACTGGGACAAATGTTTTTTCGCATTTTAAGTCGTTCTTTTTCCTTCTTATTGAAAGCATTCTGTGGATCAGTGGTTGTAACGACCTGTGACATGGGTCCCCAATGGGGGAATTCTTTTGCCTGTCCATGTTCAGTTAAGTATCTGCAATAACAAAAAAATATTTTTCATTTGAATGTGAATTTCAAGCTCAATCATCCCCATTCATGTCAGGAGAAAGCAGATAGAATTTAGAATTTATTTATCATAATAGCATGCACATCAAAACTAGTATGATTTTAGAATTCTGTTTTGGATTTAAAATTATTATTGTTTAAAAGCATTATGCACAGTCTACAGGACATAAGTGCACTAGTATCTCACTACTATCGTATGTATATAAATGATAATACAATATACTAATTATATTTAGAGTATATAGTCAGTTGGGAGAGATAAGAAAGAGATATATAGTATATAACATACACTGTCCTCATAGTTAAAATATATATACACAAATGTGGGATATTATATACTAATATTCATTTGCTTGATCTAAAAACATATCTTTCCAACAATCCTATAGTTTCTATACCATAGTACTGTTACGAGAAAAGGGTGCTCATACAAAGAATATTGCTCTTTGACAAAGGGAGTTTATGTCTAATTTGAGACTGATTAAGTCCAGTAATACCATTGTTAAAACCAATGTTATCTCCAAATGTAATTGTTCTCTTTTTTTCTTTTAAACAATTCAATAAATCTATTACAAAAAATGTAGTGTTTCCTGGGAAATCTTCAATTTGTAAGACATGTTTACCATGGTGAATAAAAACATTATAAGATAGAATGTAGTTTCATTTAAAATTTGCGTATGATTTCTGTGGGAACTAGAAAATCTAGGTTAATAGACTTAAGAAAAATAAGCTAACTGAAAAAAATGCGAATGCAATCTTTGGGTAAACGGGTAACTGAAAATGTTATTGGAGCTGAAGTACAAAATAAAGATCTCAAAAGTGCTTTTTCAAAAGGCAGCTGGAGTTTTACTTTGAGCCTTTATTTTGTATGTCTATAGAGATTCTCAGTCATCCAGGTCATGATTTTTTCACAGGTGCTTTGTCAAAAGGCAAATAGACTTTGTTTTTTCCTTGAGGAAGACGTTTTTCTTCTCATCGAAGAAGCTTGTTCAGTTCTAAAGTTCAGTCAGAACGGAAGAAACTTCTTGGATAAAAAGCAAAATGTCTTTCTCAAGGAAAAAACAAAGTTTTACACTTTCTTAGTGAAGGCTAAAAATAACATGGATGTTATTAGATAAAAAAAGCTAAGGAAAAAATAACTGATGCAATTTTCTCTAACCCCAGAAGTTGTTTAGAAGAGAGATAAAGATATTGTATATACAACATTGTAGCATGCCACATGCTCTTTAGCGATCAGTATTCCACTCTAAATTTTAAATGGAATGCAGGAATTCTGGAGCAAACTGCTTTTGAATAGTCATTTCCAACTGTTACGAGATTTGGCTCTCCCCCCCTTTTTTTTTTTTTACTAAACCACAGAAATACCATCTTAATATTTAATTGTTCCTTAATGAAATAACCGTAATTAGGATTTTCTTTATAATTCATATGAGCAAATTAAGTAATGTGCCTTACACTTACCCATACATTCGTGAAATTATTGATGGCAATGCTGGTGGAAGATTAGAATTTACTGGTTGGGTGGCTGACCAATGAACCTTGCCGGTGTATCCAAAGGTGTTTGGAGATCTAAAGGGAAAAGTTAAAGGGAATTGATTAAATGGGCACAAGCTTGGAATAATTATTTCCTGATAGCTCTAATTAAGCCAAAAGTGCTGGCTTATGTTTGTACTTGTGAGAAAGGGATGTAGAAGAAAGTAACACATTATAGTATGAAAATTATATTGACTTAATACAGAACAAAAATTGGAATAAATAAAATGGCACTATCAAATATATTGTTTGTGGGGAGTCCTATCCACATTCCTAGCTAGTGAAAAAAATCTGAAAAGAGGACATTTCTACATCACCTCTCTCTCAAAGCAAATGATAGAAAGTTAATTCCAGATTCATTAAAAAATTAGTCTCTTTATAGATCAGGCAAACCACAGAATATCATCTATAAGCTAAAGAGGCCAATATACCCACACTGAACAAACCTAATCATATGCTCTCAATATGAATATATTGCAGGAAATAAGCTATTCTTTTATGTAGCTGAAAGAGTCTTAATTTGGGAGGGGATTTCTAAAAAATAGGAAATGCATTCTATTTCCATATTTTCAAATTATACTGACTAGTATATATATGGCTATTCAAATATAATCGTTCTAATAGATAATGCAATTCCATCAAGTCTTGTGGATAGAGCACTGTAGCTCAGAGAAGAGAAGAAGACCCATGAAACGTGAAATTCCATTATACGTTGCAATATATCCAGTAATATTGGAAAAATTAGCTTACCCTTAATAAATGTTTAAGATTGAGAACATATGAATCTCATTACATATTGCAAAGAATTATATTTGTAAACTGGTCTGATCTTTATAGCATACAAAGGCAGAGTTAACATGGAACTTTTTGTTACAATTAAAGCTATTTCGTTGTTAATGGCTATTTGTCATCTGAAAAATTACCAAAATAAAGTGTGAGAAAAAAATTAATATATTCCTACCTGTATTTGATATACAGTAGAGGCCAAAATTGTGGAAACCTTTTGGGAAAATTGTATTTTTGAGGTTTGATGGCTAATAACACCACTTTTTTTTGGAGTAGTACCATAAAATTAGCGTATTTTCCAGTGTATAAGACGACTGGGCATATAAGATGACCCCCGACTTTTCCTGTTAAAATATAGGGTTTGGGCTATATTCGCCGTATAAGACTACCCCTCTTCCAACGCACACCAAATAAAAATTAAAAAATATCAACTGGCTCACCCACAATGTAAAAGCAGCTATGCTAGACCCAAAATGGCCCCTGCAACAAGCAGGAACCTCACACAGCCACAAAAAGCCCAAAAACCCAACTTTCACACTTTACACACACAAAATTCCACATACAGCTTTGTGAGATTTTGTGTGTTTGTGTAGTTAGAGTAAAACACTACAGAAACACACTAAATCTCAAAAAGCTGCACAAATATTATTTTATTTTATTTTATTTTTATTTTTATATGAAAGCTAAATTTAAAACTTCCTAAACTTTAAATGGCTAGGTCTAAAAAAGAACAACTAAAAAAAAAAACCAATTAACTATTTTTTTTAAAGCTCCCAAAAGGGAAAAAAACTTACCCAATAGAACAGGGGTCTCCAACCTTGGCAACTTGAAGACTTGTAGACTTCAACTCCCAGAATTCCTCAGCTAGCTTTGCTTTGCTGGCTGAGGAATTCTGGGAGTTGAAGTCCACAACTCCCTGCCTGCTTGATTGCAGGCAGGGAGTTGCTTGCTGATGGAATGGATTGCAGGCAAGCGAAGCAAGGCAAACCTTGCGACTAGCAGCTAAGGTAAGCAAGCTGGAGGGGGAAAACTTTTTTCCTTTTACTTGGCTCTGGCGATCCAAACTGAATTGCCTGATTAGCAGGCAACTCAGCTGGGATCGTCAGAGCTTGGATCGCCAGAGCCATTTAAAAGGAAAAAACTTTTTTCCTTTTACATGGCTCTGGCAATCCCAGCTGAGTTGCCTGATTAGCAGGCAACTCAACTGGGATCGTCAGAGCTTGGATCGCCAGAGCCATGTAAAAGAAAAAAAGTTTTTTTTCTTTTAAATGGCTCTGGCGATCCCAGCTGAGTTGCCTGATTAGCAGGCAACTCAGCTGGGATGGTCAGAGCTTGGCTCGTCAGAGCCTTTCAGGCTGGTCTGCCTGGTTACAGGAGAACGACACCCGGCATATAAGACGACCCCCGACTTTTGAGAAGATTTTCTTGTGTTAAAAAGTCGTCTTATACGCCAGAAAATATGGTATATATCAATGGAAAGGTAATTTAATTTAAGAATGTAATGCTTTTCAACCTTTGTTTGAGATAAAAGTGGCTTTTTTTGTGGAATTGTAGATTTTAGGCCAAATTCCTGCAGTCTGCGCCAAACACTCAACTTCACATTGCATTGCACCATTTCATCTTGTATACACCCAGATGATTTTCTTCTGTCATGTAGGCACAGTCTCTACATCTTCTTCTACCATCACTTGCTATTGTGCACCTTTTCCTGCTTTTACCAGTGTGGTTTTGTAGTGACTGAGACTCCTTATACCTCTTCAAAAACTTAGAAATGCCACCTTTGGTTAAGTTTCCACCAAATTTTCTTCTAATTTCTTAATAACTGTAGCTTTGTTCTCTTAATAATACTATTTTACATCACTTTCCGGGTGACCAGTCAACTCTTTGCACCATTACTTTAATTTTATTATGTTTTACAAGCTCAGTAAATGAAAGAACACAAAAAACCCCCAACCAACTTGATAGTGATCTCATAACACACTAACAAATGTCCTCCTCTCAGCTTCAATACATGACATCAATAACTGAATCCCACTATGATCTGATTGGCTCATGCGCATTGGCTGCAATTAGATGAAGGAAAGCTACCTGATATCAACCTAAGCAAGTTGTGCTTCTTTTTTCTGGTTATTTGGATATAACCTTTCATAGACTACATATATTTGAACAAACTTTGTTGCATTACATTCTTGATTAAATTATCTTTCCATTGATATATAATTCATATATCAAAAAAAAAAAGTGGTGTTATTAGCCATCAAACCTCAAAAATACACCTTTCCCAAAATGTTTCCACAATTTTGGCTACTACTGTAACAGCAGCAAATGCCAGATCTTTTGAAATGATTTAAAAGGTAGGTATTATTTATATAATTGCACAAATACATATGTCCCAGCACTGTAGCACTTGGAAAGACGTAGTCCTTAGCTTCTTAAAAGACTACACTTATATCTATATTCAATGCAATCCCCAAATCTCTGAAGCTCAGGATAGGTTAAGAATACCTGGATATTTTCAAAATAAAGAATTTCAGACTGATCATTTGTTCCTGCTTAAAATTACTTATGCACAATTCACATTTCCCCATTTCCATCTGATTTAAGATCCATACTTTCTTCTTCTTCCTTTTAATCATTTAACCAACAAATTATTATAAATGACATTCTGTTTGACTTCCTATTACTATCCCATTCTGTCAACACACTGATACCGTATAATTGATATCTGTTTCCCTGAGAGAGGGAAAAAACATTATTTATAGAATACAGAATAACTGGAAGAGACCTCGAAGGTCTTTGAGTCTAAACCCTATATACCATTCTGGATAAACAGTTGTCCAAACTGTTCTTAAAAACCTCCAGTATTGGACCATCTACAATTTCTGGAAGCAAGCTGTTCTATTGATTAATTGGTCTCACTATCAAGAAATTTCTCCTTAATTCTAGGATGGATCTCTCTTTGATAAGTTTCCTCTATTACTTGTCTTGCCTCAGGCTTTAGATAATAGATTGTCCCCCTTTTCTTCTTTGTGACAGCCTCTCAAATGTTGGAAGACTGCTATCATTTCACTCCTAGTCTTTCTCTTTGTTAGACTAGACATTATTTCGATTATTAGGCTATGTATTATCTCAGCAGCTATGAATACATTATATGATCTTGTGCATTTTATGGTATCTAAATTTATTCTTGTTTATTCTACTCCAGTATTTCATGTTTAACAATGTAGGCTGGTGGCCCCCAGGGGGAGGGCTTTCTCTGTGGGGGCTCCCACCCTCTGGAATCAGTTGCCCCCGGAGATAAGAAGAATCCAGGACCTCAATGCCTTCCGTCGTTCCCTGAAAACCTATCTTTTTCAGCAAGCCGGGTTGGCTTAAGAAGAAATTTTAAAATTTTTAAATCCTTTTAATTAGTCTGTGATTTTTAATTTTTTGGGCCAAATTTTATATATATTTTTAAATGTTTTAATATTTGTATTCTATGTTTTTTATCTTGGCTGTACACCGCCCTGAGTCCTCAGGGAGAAGGGCGGTATATAAATTCGAAATTAAATTAAATTAAATTAAATAAACCTAAATAGTATTGCTGTTCTGTAATATTCAGTTCCTCCATCCTCTCTTGATAGGTTTTGTTATTCTATCTTTAAAAACCCTGGAAAAGAACATGCACATCTAGGATTGGTATGATTCTCCCAAACTGTAACCGGATCTATTTCTAAGAAGTATTTGTTTAGATTGTTTGCTATAGCCAGGCCTCCTTAATTTAAGATTTGCTTGCATTTTTTTATTTTGGTGAGTGCACATTTTGGGTGATTTTCCCCTTTTGTTGCTAGTGTACCTAAAAAAAGATTTTATCCCCCCTTTTAATAGATTTAACAAGTTCCTCCTTTTTGTAAATTTTAGCAGCACTAATAACTTGGCTTCCTTTTGTACATTTTTATACACCTTTCTATCAGCTACTGCATTCAAACTAGTGCTGCAACTACCAAAAAAGCCAGTGCAGTCCTAGATTGCATGAACAGAAGGATCACATCAATATCATGTGAAGTGATAGTCCTGCTCTATACTGCACTAATGAGGCCACACTTGGAATACTGTATCCAATTTTGGTCACTGTGACATAATTTTTTTCCCCAGACCCTAGAAAATGCAAAGAAGAGCAACAAGATGATAAGTGGTTTGGAACTCAACTGTATGATGAACAGTTAAGGGAATTAGTTATGTCTAGCCTAATGAAGAGAAGGATTACAGGA